TAAGTCGATCCAATGATAGTCCAATATATATGTGACCACCATGATCGGCATACTACAAAAATTGTGGTACCCAACCTATCACTCCTTATCACTTGAGTGATCATCGATTTTGAAAATTAGTAACACCAAGCCACCATGATGATCAAATTTTCTAGTATCCCCCCACCTCCAAAGAAAATAAGGTTACACTGAAAAAAGTGATCAAGAAAACCAAAAAGCAAAAAATAAAGACATAAACCTCAGGAAAACTCGAAGTGCAATGAGAAAAACTTGAGTAAAAAATACCAAACATATACCTCAACTCTGTCTCCTTATTTTAGAAGACAAACTCTCCTGTTAACAACATAACATCAACTAGCAAGAAATACATTAGTCAAGAGCTCCTTCTAAGAAATAATAGTCTGGCTTACGAACCACTTGGCCAGTTAGACTTTAAAGGCGTAGGAACCAAGATGCACTACTTTTTAACTTTTCAGAAAGCTCAGGGGAACGTTCATATAGAACTGCCATCTTACGTTATTGTTAGTAATTCCAAGACTCATGATAACAGTTCTAACTTAATATAAGTCGTAAGGAGTTCAAGTGAAACTAAAGACCTCGGTAATAACTTCATATAACATCAAAAAGTCCTTTTACTATCACTCAAGGCAAAAAATCCTCATATTTTTCATCCATGTCTTCTTGGAAAAAAATGGGCAGAGCCCAACAGGAAAGAAAGTACGATGATCCTCTAAGTTACACTTTTAGTAAATTGACCCATTTTTTGTAAATATTTCAGCATCCAGTGGTCCGATTTTAATGAACTTTTTTTTAAATTGTAGAGCTAAATGAGGGCTACAAAATAAAAAAATGTTCTTTAAAATTAAATCACTAGATGCTGAGATACTTATAAAATACGATTTTTTGAGTTTTAGCAAAAAGTAGTGTTTTTGGGCAAAAGTCAGTTATGACTTATTTTAGAGATGTCCGGGGTTCTATTCACATAATATCTTATTAAATCTTTCTATCAATCTATTAGTTTTTGGATGATAAGGTGTTGAAAAATTATATTTAACTTTAAATTTTTCTATTAATGATTTTACTAATTTATTATTAAAATGACTTCCTCTATCACTCAATATTTTCTTCAGACATTCATGTCTATATATTATATCTTCATAAATAAATTTTGCAATTTCCTTAGAATTAGCTGTTTCTAATGCTTTGGCTTCTAGCCATTTAGTAAAATAATTCATTGCTGTAACTATGTATTTATTATTCTTTTTGTTACAGTTACTTGTAGTCAAACTCCTCTAGCCATAAGAAATCTAACACAATTAACATACTTTAAACAACTATTCATCTATTTACTATATATTTCAGACACTAAGTCAATTTATTCCAATTACCTCATACCTAAGTTCAGATTCTCAGGAATACCACATAGGTAAAATACCACACAGGTAACATACCATATAGGTAACATACCACATAGGTAAAAATACCATACAGGTAACATATCACACAGGTAAAAATACCATATAGGTAACATATCACACAGGTACTCAACTATATGAGGATAGTTGGAATGATGACACAAAATCAATCATTTTCTTTCTTAGAGCATTCACCAAACTGTTATCGATGTCTGCCACCCATTGATAAACAAGGTATTTGCTTTTATAGATATTCTCAATGAAACGTTAATTTATTCTTGCTTGGTTTAGATTTTTATATTTATGTACTTAACTTTAAAACTGCAATAGTTCTCGTTACATAAGTTTATCTTTATTTTAACTCCTCATTTATAAATTATAAACATTAATTAAAACTTAGGTAAACCTTAAGTATATTTAAAATAACTTTTAATAATTAATATTTTATTAAGTCTGAAGACTGAGTTGTTCAAAACTGAGTAAAACTAAGTCTAAAACTCAGCCTTTAAATATAAATTTACATTTTATTAAAAGTACCCTAAAATTATAAAAGTACCCTAAAAATAATCTATAATCTAATATTCTGTAATCTAATATTCTGCTCAAGAATAGTCTTATAAACTATTATAAAGAAAATATTCCAAACGAATCTATCTTTTATGATTAATAATTACTCCTCCTAATTATTCCTATTAATAAACTTGATAAACTAATTATTATATCAGAATTGATTGACTCCTTAATTAATAATTTACCTGATCTTCATTAATCATTCAATAAATATTACATCATGTAGATCATTCTATTTCTCAAATGTTTATCCTTTCAGCTAATTATTTATCTAATCACGTGGCTTTCTATTATGTGATCTTTTGTTTGGTATATTATTCCTTCATATTACGTGATCATTCTTATATCTATAGTTATAACGTAATCTCTATAAGTTTACTTAGAGTGACAAAGTATTGTTATCAACTTATTTGATAAAAATTCTTCTTACGCTAAATCTATTTTTGGAAATTATTGGTGAAGATAGTAAGTAAAGTCAAAATCATCATTCAAAACCTTCTTTCGAATTCTGCAGAAGAGTGAAATTGCACTCACATTATAAGTTCAAAAGCTTTTATCTATGGGCTCTGTTTTTACTGCTTGATAAATATGCCTTATATCTTATTTACATTTTTATTATCTAATATATAATCATTTTATTATTTTAATGCAAAGTTATATTATCAACTCATGTGACATCTGTTTGTTCTGCATATTTTGCAAAAGTTATGCTATTGATATATTCTAAGTAAATGGACTTCAGAAATTCACAAAATTTTTATAAGTAAAGCTCTAGTGTTAAGCTTTAGGAAACTGTAGGTGAAAGTTCTATTTGACATGTAAAATCAATAAAATTAATTGTACTTTCAAATCAAAAAGTAATGAATGGTAATAAATATGTGCTACAAATTAGAGAGCTGTATAAGTTGTAGTTTTAGTGAATCCCATGAGCTGAAGATTAAAATTCGTTATAGTAAGAAATTCGCTATACTGAGGGTAATTTTATTATATATAAAGAAAATCTGTACTTAACTTTTCTTGATTACAGCAAGTTATTCACTATATAAAAATTCACTATAGAGAGTATTTGTTTTATTGTTTATCAAGAAAACTTGCAAAAAATATAATATGTATCAAAGAAACTTTATATTAGTATCTGCGATATTATCATTTTAGAACTTCGCATAATGTTCATTTATGACACCATTATAGTTGGCATTACGTGCAAGAAAATGTGCATAACATAATATCAAATAACACGAGGCAGATATGTGAAGAGATAAGAAAGATCAGTTTTTACAATATATACAATAAAATATAGTATGTCGCTTTTATAAGTTTCTATTTATTATTTATCCGATCTACAAATTTATATCTTTATATAGATATAATTTTTTAAAAAAATTACCCGTATATACAAGAAAGAAAAAACTAAAAAGAAAAAAGAAATTCCAAAAAAAGTCTATATTTAAACTAAAAAATTGATAAATAAATAATAATAATAATAATAACAAAAAAGTCTAAACTGTAATTTTATACTTAAAATCCAGCAATATTTCTCTATTTTTTTTTTTTTATGTTAATTGTTTTTTTTTTCTTGAAAAAAAGAGTTAAAAAAAGTTAGCTTTTTAACTGAAATTTTTTCGTTAACCAAAATTTTTATTTTAAAAAATGTTCTTACTTTTTTGACACTTTTTAATAATACTTAATCGGAAAAACAAATCAAGATCTTATTTCTGTATGAAAATAATTTTGAAAAAAAAAGATGAAGAAAACAAAAAAGATTGAATCAGAAATAAGATCAAATATTTTTACACAAAATTCAAATTGTTAATTTCTAAAAAAAATATTTTCTCCTTTATAAACATTTTTATCAATATTCCCAACGCATTGAAAATTAATTACACCTCAATTTTTACTTCTGCTAAATCATCAGTGATTTTATCTTTCATAATGGAATTTTCTTCAGAATCCAAATGATCTTCTTTAAGATGCTTTTTCAATTCAAATTTATCATTAAATGATCTTTTGCAGAGATTCCATTCACAAAAATAATTCATTTTTTGAAATGATTTGACAGGACTCCCTGGAATTGGATTTGCAATTACCTTGAATTTTCTTCCGGTAGAAACGGATGATGTAGAATTCAATGATGTACGAGGGGTAGAACCTTTACTTTGTCCAATACGAGTTGATGTCGTTGGTAATTTTCGCAAGTTTGTATTTCCTCTAATAGAAGCAGTTGAATTTCTGAAAGCGTTTGGATTTTCGAACAATCTAGTATCATGATAATTATTATTCGGCAAACTTTCAAAAAAAGGAACCGTTGATACCGTTGATAATCCTTGAACATTTGTATTATTATTAACATTTCCTATAATCATCATTTAAAAATATAAGTATATAAAGAAAACCTTTAACAAAAGATAAAACTAACAGAATTTTAAATTACCATGCGCTGAATTGGTTTCAATAGGCTGTGTTTCCATTCTTTGAGTATAATCTTCACTCTGATTATCCTTATTTTGACTCTGTAATGATGGTGATATTCTTTCTCTCAAATAATTCGCTTGAGTACTAGAAGTGTTTGGGATAGAAGATACATCATAATTTTTGAGAATCTCTGCAGCGTTTAACTTTCTAACTTCAAGCATTAATTTAACAGAATCTTCCGCGATAGTTGAATTCTCCTCGGCCATTTTCAAACTTATTTCTTGTAACTTGTTTTTCATTTTCAAATTTTCAATTTGACGATTCAAAAAACTCTCATCTTGATTATTACTAGTAGTTCTTCTTATCTTAACTACTTCCTGATTGATTGTCTCTTTCAAATTATCAATTGCCTTATTGATATTACTTCTCTGATCAATTAATTCCTGCAAAGAATTTTGAAGTCGTGTAAATTTATGATATTCATCTTGCATCAATATGATACTATTCTTTGTTATATTATTATTTTCTTCTCTAAGTTTTTTCAATTCTTGATTTGCATTATTTAAGTCTTCTTTAAGTATTTCGATTTCGGATTGTTTTCCCATCATAATCCTTCTAGTTTGATTATATTCATTTTGTAACCTTGAATGTTCAATATCAAGCTTTTTATATTCATTACATCTAACCACGTATTTATTTTGACTTTCCACCACCTTATTACATAATTTCTGAATATTATCTTGACATTTTCTAATAGTATCACTTGCTTCTGAATTTGACCATGGCCTTCTCTCAACTTCTACTCTAAGTTGATAAGTTTCACTAGCATATTTATTTTTTTCTTTAATCAAATCCATTTTATCTTTCTCTAATGATTCATTATAAGATCTCACTTTTACCAATTCATACGATAATTCCTTCTGTATAATATAATGAATTAATCAATTAATATTATTTAATATGATGAAAATATTATATTATAAACTTACCACTCTTTGTACAGCGTCAAAAGAAGGAACAGAATCATTACTTTCCATTATCAAAGATCCAGTGTTTGTATTTTGTATAATTGAAGATTGTTGATGATTTGATTGTTCATTAATCTGCATAATAGTTGGTGATATACTTTGAGGACTTGTCATTATTACAGATTGATTAGAATGAGTAACATTATTATCATCATTAAAAATTGCCATCGAATCTTCATCTGATGAAATCGGTTGTACATATGATTTGTGGAAATAACTCTTATGTTGTGTCGTCAATAAAGGAACAATTTTATTAGAAACTTGTGAACTACTTGAACTACTTTTAGGAACTGAAGAACCTGAATTATTTCTGATACTGGCCAATCTGCTAGAATGTCTATTTGATGATGATGTCGAAATGTTATTATCGGTCCACTTTTCTGTATTTAATGCACTTGATGTGTTATTTGATGTGCTACTTGATGTGCTACTTGATGTGCTACTTGACGTGTTACTTGACGTGCTAGATGTACTATTTGATTTGCTACTACTTGATGAGGAGGAATGTACATTGGAATAATTATATTGTGATGGTGACGGTGGTGGTGATGAATTAATCTTAGCAGCAATCGAACGAAATTTAGGAGAAGAAGAACTTGTGGTAGAGGAATTTTTACTTATACTGGAATTGATTCCTGATTGTTGATCATAGGATTGTGTGAAAGATTGTATACATTGCGAACTTGATAAATCATAATCCGGAAGTGATTCATTAGGCTGTAATGTTGATAATTCATTTATTTGTGAAGATACATTATTGTTTTCGACATTTAATGATGTTGATGTTGATAATGTTAATGATGGTAAAATTTTGATATCTCTAACATCTTTGGTAACTTTGGCAACTTTGGCAGCATCTTTGATATCTTTAGCATCTTTGGTAACATCTTTGGTATCTTTAGAATCTTTGATATCTTTAGCATCTTTTGAATCTTTAACATTTGAATCTTTAACATCTTTTGAGTCTTTAACATCTTTTGAGTCTTTAACATCTTTTGAGTCTTTAACATCTTTTGAGTCTTTAACATCTTTTGAGTCTTTAACATCTTTTGAGTCTTTAACATCTTTTGAGTCTTTAACATCTTTTGAGTCTTTAACATCTTTAGAGTCTTTAGAGTCCTTTGCATCTTTAGAATCTTTAATATCTATTACTTTCTCATTAGCATTAATTGATGAATTAATGACATTATCTTTGCGATTCATATCATGAACATCTTCAGTTTTTTGCCTCTTTGTTGATGAATCATTATTAGGATCTTGAACATTATCCAAAGTTCTCTTATTTAAACTATATAATGATAATCTTTCAGATTTTGAAGGTAGAGGAATCTTTTTTCCATGAATAGTTTTATGAGATCTTATTTCATTAATATTAGGATCCAAAATAGAAATATTACTTTTAATAGGTGTATTGCTAATAATAGATGGTTGTATAGGACTTATTTTAACAAGTTTAACTTTAGAAGTAGGGAAATTTTTCAATATCTTTGAAGAAGAAATGGTAGATTTTGTATTACGAGGAGCGTTGTTGTAATTTGTGAATTTTGAGTTGATTTTTACATGAAAACTATGTAAATTTGGTTTAATATTTTTCTTAACATTTGAATTTGAAATTAAATTATTTGAATTAAGATTCGAATTTGTGATTGGATTTGTATTAGAATAAGAATTAGAATTTGTTTTTGTATCGGTATTAGAATTAGAATTTGGATTAGGATTAGGATCGCAATCTTCATAACGTGCAAATGATAAAGTTTTTCGTCTTATATCTTCACTCATGTTTTGACAGTATTTATCCAAAACATATTTTAAACCATCTACACCATTAATTTTATCACCTCTCTCCATTATGCTATATGGATTATTTGATTCAGACTTGTTAATAGTATTATTATTATTATTATTATTATTATCTTGTAAATCCATTGGATCATCATCTTGTACGACATCCATTTTTTCTTGATTTGAACCCTTATGATTTTCTTTATCTTTTTGTTCCTCTTGTTTTTTACGTTGTCTAGATTTTTCTTGTTCCCATTCTTTTAATAACATTGCCGTACAATTATCTTTTGGTTGCTAAATAAAAAAAAAAGGAAAGAAAATTAAATAAAGTTTTTTTTAAGGAGAAAAACATTATTTTAAATGAGATAAAAACGTTACCCAATCAGGAGACCAAGGTTTCCCATTTCTATCATGTCCGGACCATTTTATTAGATAAAGCCATTTTCCACCAACTTTCTTTTCATCCAAAATTCTTTCAGCGTCAAAATAAGATTCTTGAATATTTGATGATTTTTTTGAAGGATTTCTCTTTTTAGTCATTTTTTTAAGTTTATAACTTTAATAACCCTTCTTTTTTTTTTTGTTTATCTTTTTTTTTGTTTATTTTTATCTTTGTTATTTTTATTTTGTTATTTTTTTTTTATTTTTGTTACAAAGGAATAAAAAAGAAACCTTTCCACCCAATATATATATCATGTATATATATATATAAATATATAAGTACGTATACATAATACATCAAAACTTTTTAGAACATAAAATTTTCGTGTTACGGGATGACAAATATAAAAATAATAAAAAATAAAAAATAAACACATTTACATTAGAATTAAATTGTGTTACATTAGGTGATGACCGATGACAAGGAATTTGATTGACATATGTAAACACATGACTACATAATTTCTTGATAATCCCTGTTGTCCTTGACCCTTTTTTTTTTTTTTTTTATATAAACATAAGATATACTATAATAAGTAATTCGGCTTTAGAAGATCCCGAATTTACCTTCTTTTCCCGATTTTTTCATATAATATGGACAATCATAATGACGCGTAAATTTTATTATTATATATTTAAAATATTTAAATTAAATTGAATACTTTCTTTTATCTTAATTTATAATACGATGATTTTTTTTATTAAATTAGCGTTGTGAAACATTATAAAATGACATCTTTTTAAAGTCCGATAAAGCGGATTTACGCCCGTCAAATATTTTTAAAAATGGTTTAAAAAAAATGTTTCATAAACAAATCCTTTGCTATTAGTATAATTACAAACCTGTTTAAAAAAAATGTAACCAATAAAAATATTGATAATAATGATCATTGTTTTATTATTATAATGAGATATAATTTAATTAAGATTTTAATTTGTCATAACGTTTCAATCGTTTCANGAAAAAAAAAAAAAAAAAAAATATCTTTATTCGTATAGTTCATTAAAAAATATATATAATTCAAACAATATTATGCACATCGTTTTTATTTTTAGTATTTTTTAAGCCATTATAGAAAAAAAAGTTTTCAGCCCAATAAACCCGATAACTTATTAACTAATTACGTTTATCTATCAAATCTATGAAATTTCTTTATCAGATAAAAATAAAAAATAAAAATATTTTAGTATACAATATATTGAAATATATTGAAATATTATACATTTTTTATATAGAACGATTTAAAGAAAAAATAAAGATGTAAAAAAAAAAACTTTTCAATGTTATTAAAAAACTTTTATTATCGATATTTTATCTCTTGTTATTTGTGTTAATACTATAATACTATTATACCGTTTTAAAACAATAAAATAAAGTATGATAAATGTAAAGTTTTCAAGTATATAATGTTCTTATATAATAATTTAAAGGTTATTATTATTGTTTTTATGATAAATTTTGATTGTATGCTTTTCATTACGTTGTGGCGCAGAAATGCAAAAGTTAAAACGAGTAAATGGAACAAATTGATAATTATAAAGTACCATGAAAAGTGATCGAATTTTATATAAAATTCATTGGACCAAGTTGTTTATAATGATGAAAAATTTCAAAATCATCAAAAATTGTGCATATAAAAGATTTCTCATTCTCCCCCAAAAAACAGGAGTATTCTTAATCGGTAAATCAAATATTAATGAACAGATAAATGTGATAAAAGGACTTTTATATGTATTTCATGACAATGTATTCATGACAGAGTATTGAATATTCATGACAAAATATTCAAAATATTCAATGAAAAGTAAGTGCATAGTTAATTAACTGCTATTCGGATACTTTGGATACTCATCTCAATAAATATATTACTATTATTCAGATATGAATTTTTAATTTGATTCCGTATCAATTATATTTGAATGTATTGGTCTGTCAAAAACTTTATAATTGTAATATTTATATATAGATAATAGCATTTAGGAAGTGTGGTTCAATAAAATTTGTATGTAATGTATGTAATGTTCACTTATTAAACTTGAACTTGATAATTAATTATATCAAAATGAAAATTCCAATTAACAAATCCATGGCTTTTTTTAACATAATGATAAATAATATAAATCGCATAAATTTTATTTCAATTTATCTAACATATTTAATAATTGAAATTGTTTATATTAATCATAATCGGATTTTTACATGATATATATGATTATTTTAAGTTATAATTATGTTGTTATATTTAATATTGCTTTATCAATTATCAATGCTTCATTGGTCAATGCCTCATTGGTCAATTATCTTTATCTTTATCTTTATCTTTATATTCGATTCTTTTAATAACTTGCAAGTCTTACCAATATCCAATTATTATATTAATGAATCTTTTAGATTTGATTTCAAATATTTAACTTGATAACTTGTAAAATACTTTAAATCTATTAAATCTATTAAATATAGAGTCCTTAGTTAAGAATCTTAGTTAAGAATCTTTATTTACATTAAATGAAACATTACATGAAGTTTACATGACTTTAAATTTAAATGACTTTTTACATGATTTTAAATTGGTTTAAAATCTAAAAACTCTATACTTAATTAATCTATGATGACTATGAGAACATTTAAATTAATAGTTGATCTAAAAATAAAAAAGGAGGACTAGAAGAAATGCTTTATGAAATTTATGAATTTGAAGGTTTGCGCATTTGAATTTAAATTTTTTAAAACAGTTCATATCAATCTTTTATAATCAATTAAAACATATTAAAACATTAAAAGGTTCGTGGCGCAGTGATCAACGGCACAAAAATTTCGTACTCTTTCACACTTTCAATTGAATATCACATAAAAGGATATAGTAGATCTACATTTGGATATATTTGATACATAAAAGGATAAATTAAAACCATTTTAAAATATCACATGATTTATGTCACCAAAGGTCACGAACCGGAATTAAAATTACCCATGTTACCGTTTCCGTTAATCAAGTTCTTATCTCGTAAGAAAAATATAAAATGTAAAACAATAAAAATTTCATATGTACCTTTATTTTTGTGTACACAAAATAAATTAAACAATAATAAATAATAATAATACTTCATATTTTTAAAATAATATTATTATTTAAACTCATTATTTCAAAAAGAATATATTGTTTTCCAATTAAATTAAAAATTTTATAATAAAAAGTGCATAATTTAAGGTTTTATATTTTCTATAATATCCGAAACCCAAAAACGGTTTCCTTTTTCCTTTTTCCTTTCTTTTCTTTTTCCGCAAGGTATCCGTTATCCCGCTTAAGATGAAAAGCCGCTTCGGTTAAAATCTTAAAATATAAAATTGTTACACGAAATATTTGTCCAATCAAAAAAAGAATTCTTTGTATTTCCTCCTTTTAAACTTGATTTTTTCGTTTTTATTAAGTTTATTAAAGGTGATAATATAAAAAAACCGTTTTACATTATTATAATAAAAAAAAAATTTTTTAGAAAAACCGTACCTTATAGTTTATGCGTACAAAATATTTGTTAAACGATGACGACGGGATTTCAAGTATTTGTAAAATCTTTACCATAAAAGTATTTTTTTTTTTTATAAAGGGAAGAGATTTTATTTTCTTTTTTCTAACCTTTTGATATCTTAATTCGCGCTCGAGTGTAACGTACAACAAATTCACATTTCACAAGGCACGAGTTTTTGCATGTGATTAATTAAAGGTAATGTGACGATTAAATGTAACATAAATAAAACAATTAGATTTACTGTATTACAATTACGAAATATTATAAATATTATTCATGTTATTTATATTATTCTCATCTCGGGAGAAATAAAATTTATTTATTATATTTTTCCTTAAAAAACTTACAATTTTTTAATATATTAAAAAAAAAACTGATAAACATTAATCATGATTTAAACTTGTCTCAGGGCGTATCTTTTGATTGGCGTCACTATGACGTTCAAATCGGAAATCAACCGAAAAAAACCGAAGAGCGAATTATAATAATTATAATTGTTATTTACATTTTTTACCAAATATAATTAAAAAGTACGCCGATTACTTACATTACCGAGATAATTAAATTGTTAATTGATCGAAAAATTTTTAAAATTATCCTATTAGAGTAAATTAAATTTGTAATCAACATTAAGATTATCCATCTTTAGGTTATTAGACTTGAACTAAATAAGACGGGGCTAAAATCTTTGTGGCTTTATCCGTTTTATCCGTTGCCCGGTTGCCGGCTACTTGCGTAAGTTTTATGATGTCATTTTTTTTATTACTATAAAGAAACAATGGAATAGTAATTTTCTGTATATATAACTATATAACTATATAACGTATAACGTATATAATAATCTTCATGAAAAAAAAATTTTTTGTTGTTCTTATAAATCAAGGCGGTTATTTATATAGAATTATAAAATCTTGGGCTAAGCTAATTAAAGAAATTTTAATTTATTATTTGTTTATTTGTTAATTTATTTTATTACCAAAGTTAGTTTCACATTTTTTTGATATGCAGAAAAAAAAATACGAATTGTACATTACGGTTTTATCCACCCATTTGTAGTATTTGTAAAGAAAACTTTCACGGTTTTGTACCATTTGTAGCATTTATAAAAGAAATAAACTTTTTTTTTTTTTCAAATTACATTTTGTGAGTCATAAAAAAAAGTTCCGATAAGTTTATATATATACGAAAAATGTCATCTGCCTGTCATGCAAAAAAAATACATCATATTATAAAATAATTATTATAATAATTAAAGATCATATGTACAATCATTATTAATTATAATACATTAAACGTAACAAGTTATTATTACTATAATTAATGTACATTACATACAATACATTATTACATTATTTTATTTTAAAAAAAAATTTGTTAAAAGTATATATATATTAATTTAAAATTTAAATTTTTTTTTTTTTAAATGGCGGAAAAATACGTTGCATAAAAAAAAAATTTTTTTTTTTTTATTTTGGTTTAGATTTAGATTCTTTGAAAAATTTAGATTTAAGAATTCCCGAATCATTATATCGTATACCTTTAATGAAAAAGAAAACCCCTCTTTATATCTATCTATATACACACACCTATATAAAAATAACGACCAAAAAAAAATTTTAATTTTTTTCCCTCTCTTTAAAACTTTTTGATTATTATTTTTTTTTTTTTTTAACTTTTT